AAGGTAGGTAGGAGGGTGTTAGGAGATGAGAAGAGACATCTGGGAGATGACTTACATGCTGAATGTTGTGCTCTGAATTTATCTGCTGGGCTAAGAGATTCTTCTTACACAAGACAAGTTCAGGAGTCGAGGAGGAGAAGATAGAGATTCACAGAAAGCATTTCTCTCTTTATCGCAAGCTGTTTGACTTCCTGATTGGTTCTCATTGAAGATTGGGCCCCTCGTTCCATTCAAAAAGCCAGAAATTCAACAGCTGAATATGTTGTGCTAGAGGGGGTTGCTCTTATCGCTACCTCTAACAGACCTGCAACCTGTGTGTTCAAAAAAAGAAGAAAAAGAGTTAAAAAAAAAAGTTAAAAACTACATAAACAAACAAGAAGCTGGTTTGAAGTTTGAAGAAATTGAAGGTCAAATACCTGAAGTTATGAGCTACACCTTCTGGGTCTGGTCTGCCCATCTAGCTTGTCTGAGCAGATGGATGTGCAGAGGGCTTCTCTGATGAATCTTGCCTGGAATAGGGGCCATGTAAAAAAAAGGGGGGGAAGACTCTGTCAGTGCTGTGGGCCCCTTTAGTCACTTGAAATAGGAATCTAAGCTTCAACTGTGGGCCTTTCAGAGAAGAATGATGGATGGATTTGCTATCATTTCTGCATTGATGACTGGCTGGTGCCACATGCAATATCGAATCGAAGATATACACGTCTGCCCACTTCGCTAGGGCATGCACACAGAGGACAGCTGCTAACATCATGCGACATTAACCGGTGCTCGCACTGGAGTTGCTTCAAGGTGCCATTCACTGGTCTGCCTACCTATCCATCAGCACACATCACATACACTGCCCATTTTGCTACTTCAAGTTCAGAATTGATTTCGGAATCAAGGGAGGGCCCCTGTGGGGGGAACGCTCGTCATTCATCACGCGCCAGGGGGCCGAGGCCTTTTCAATGTCCCAAATGTTTGGACAAATGGAAAATGGTATTTTTCCTAATTTATTCCACTCTTTTCTCCGTGTTTTCAGTTTATAGTACTTCGTTGACCATAGGAATACCTCTGGGGGGTTCTGCTGGGTAGCGTGAAGGTCGAAAATCATGGCCAAGACAGACACTGACTGGTTTTCAGTAATTTGCGCACGTCATTCGTCACGCGCCAGGGGGCCGAGGCCTTTTCAATGTCCCAAATGTTTGGACGAATGGAAAATGGTAATTTTGAATTTTCCTAATTTATTCCATTCTCCGTATTTTCAGTTTATACTACTTTGTAGACCATAGCAATACCTCTGGGGGGTTCTGCTGGGTAGCGTCAAGGTCGGAAATTATGGCCAAGACAGACACTGACTGGCTTTCAGTAATTTTATTGAATAGGACCCAAGGCTGAATTTCCGGTCCCACCGGGCCCTCCTTCCCCCACCGGAACCGGGCCAGTGGTACCGGCTGGTGGACTGCGCCGGTTCCCCCCCGGTGGAATTTTGCGCAGCTCGATCGCGGGGGGGTTTCAATTTTTTTTGGGGCCGGGAGGCCTCCATGCTGGTCGTGGAGGCCTCCCGGTCCCAAAAATAATAAAACCAGGTCCGGGAGGCCCGCCAGAAATTTGAAAAACTGGCGGCCTATCTGGGCCGTCAATCTGGTGAGATCTGCAGCCCAGATAGGCCGCCAGTTTTTGAACATTCGGGCGGGAAACCACCCGATGTTCTTGGCGATCCGAACGTGCCCCAGCAACCGATCCCACCACCCAGCCTCCCGCCTCCAGCTGCTTTCGAGCAGCACAACCCGTCACTTCGACACTTCGTCGAAAGTGAACGCGGTTGAGACTGCGTCGCCCCCCTCCCACATCCGCCCCGGTCTCGGATCGCCATCCCCCCGCCCTGCCGTCCATCAGTAAAGGTAAGTCTATACCATCTTCTTCTTCTTCTTGCTATCTTCTTCTTCTTCCATTTCTTCCATTTCTTCCATTTCTTCCATTTCTTCCATTTCTTCTTCTTCTTCTTCCATTTCTTCCATTTCTTCCATTTCTTCCATTTCTTCTTCTTCTTCTTCTTCTTCTTCTTCTTCTTCTTCTTCTGGCAGAGGAGAAGTTTGCGAATGAAATGGGCGCGCTGGGGTAAGTGTGTGTGTGGAAACTAGTGGGCGCGCAGAAATCAGAGAGAGAGAGAGAGAGAGAGAGAGAGAGAGAGAGAGAGAGAGAGAGAGAGAGAGAGAGAGAGAGAGANGAGAGAGAGAGAGAGAGAGAGAGAGAGAGAGAGAGAGAGAGAGAGAGAGAGAGAGAGAGAGAGAGAGGGTAGCGGGGGCGCGCGCGGGAGGACAGGTACGCTGCAACCACCCCACCAACACCCCCACAACACCTGCCGCCCCCCACCCCCACCCCCCATGACAAAAAAAATTGCACATCTATCTTTTCTCTGCGGATTCGGGGAGATCTCGACAAGCGCAGTCCAACTCCATCACCAAAAAAAAATAATAAAAAAAAATCGACCTGGTTTTGGGCCCAACCGGATTTCCGGTTGGGCCGGCCAACCGGCCCATGGGTCCGGTCCGGTCCAACCGGCCAGTGGCCGGTGCAGCCCTGATATGATAGGACCAGAATAGGCGATTTTATAATTTTTATTGTCATTGTTTATTTTTTTCTTGCAAACCAGAGACTTGAGACTTCAAAGCAGATGCACCTTCCAGGTGTCTAAATAGTGCACACGTACCTGTTCATGATCAAATCACGAGTTCAAACTCATAACGCTGATGGATACAATAACGCTGGAGGTCTCTCTTTATTCACACAAAAAAGACCAATGAATTCTGGATTGCTGAAAGTGGTAGAGTTGGGAGTGGTAACAAAAAATGTCATAAAATGGAATGCAAGGATGAATGGCCAAGACCAGCATTTCTTTGGTGGTAGCTTTGTCGCGGTGCAGTGGTCAATGCCCCCCTGATGAGAATGTTGATGGACGTGTAGTGAACTCAGTCCTGATGAGGATGTTGATGGAGGTATACCGAACTCCGTGCCTTGCTTACAATGATTCTGAAGCTTGATTCTTGCTTGTGGTTGGCCTCCGTGGTGTCATCCTCTTGAAGCAAGCATAGTGATCGACTGAGGGTGCTACATGATGCGGTGCCTATGTCAACAATAACAGTTTGTGGATTCACAGCCAGTCATATAGCCACAGTCAGCACATGTGGAAGCTGTAGAGCACGGAAAAAGAGACAAACAATGGTGCAAGGCAATCCGAAAGGTGTACTTAGAACTATCATAGATACAGACTTTTGACGAGATGGATGATCACTCATACTATCATAGATGCTCTGATGCAGACTATTGGCGAGATTGCAATGATCACTCGTTCTACAGGCAGCAGACGACATGTTTGATGAGAATGCCCCTCTCTAGTAGAATGAAGAGTAACGGTCAAGGGGGCACTGGCTTTGGTGGATGTACATGGGCGCCACGGTTTAGAATCTCAGCAGCTGAGGGAAGGGATAAACAGGCAAATACAACGCGAGAAAGAGAGGAAATGTTGCATGTCGCTGGCCTGGTCATGCCAGCCATGGGCCTGGGCACTAGGTTCCGAGTCGTGGCCTGTGGGCTTCTCTGGCTGCCCTGGTGGCCCGACTGGAACAGGTTCTGGCAGGTCAAGGGCAGCCCCAGTACAAACTTGAAAGAAAATAGAACTTATAAAAGTCAAAAACTCGAGGAAAGCATATGTTGTGTAGAACTGCGAATTAAGTTATTAAACAATGTTTGGCTGTCTGTGACGCCGAAGTCCTTGACGAACCCGAAAAAAGGCTGCCTGTGCAGAATGCAGACGGGCCCTGAGTGAAGGCCGTGCGAGAGACAAGACGGCAGGCCCTAAGTCAAGCCGAGCTAGAAGGTACTGGACCAGCGAGAGTTTCCAGCCTCTGTCACTAACTGGTAGGCCTAGCCTCCAGTTAGTTACACAGGCTAGGACCCAGACTCAGACTGGAAGGCAGTGGAGCCTACCACGTCCCATATCACTGCCTTGCAAAGGCTAAAAGAGAGGAGGCC